AACTAGGTGTTTGTGCTGCTGTTCATCTTCGTGAAAAGACAGATAATGCGCTTCGCCATGAAGTCCCGCCGGGGGCCCCATGTGCCGGTTGGACAACACGCCCCCAAGGTCTGTTTGTGGGGTTTGTCTCCGATTGGCTGCGGGGGGAGGTTACGCTTTGGGCGATCAATTTGCTTATTTAGATAAGGCTTTGTGTTGATGCTTCCTATTTCCGTATGCTGCAGCTATATCCCAAGCTAAACAGGGCCAGATGGGGCCAGTTCTTAGATGGGAGACCTTCAGGGAGCAGCCAGGTGCTGCACGAAATGGTCTTGGCCCTTCTCTTCCCCATGATTCACTACTGAATCCAGTGCTCCAGCTGGGAGCGAGGGAATGCCCTGCTCCTGGAGGATACCATCTTTCTGCTGAGTCTTAAAATCAATGCTTTTGTTAAAGAGTCTGTGATGCACTTTGTAATAGTCAGGACATTAGCTGTGGTGTCCTGGCTAAAGGAAAGCTCTGATGGCCACGTCTACACTCTGAGCACTACAGCACCACCGCTGTGGCACCGTAGCCATGCCAACGTAGGGCTGTAGCGCAGAATCTTCCTGCAGTGACCAAAGGGGTTTTTCTGTTGCGGTAGGAACTCCACCTCTCCGATGATAGCTGGGTCAGTGGACGTTTTTCAGTCGACCTAGCTGTGCCTACACTTGGGGCTAGTGTGGCTCTGAGGTGTGAATTTTTCACACCCCAGAGCGCTATAGCTATGTTGATCTAACTTTTAAGTGGACACCAGGCCTGAGAGCTGTGCTCTGACTCTCTGAATTCTCCTTGACTATGGGAATTTTCACTGCTTGGATTAAATGGTTACTTTCTATTGTTAAGTAATTGCTGCATCTCAGGGCTGGGTGCAGTGATCCCTGTCTACTGGGAGTCATAGGTGCTTTGGGAAGGAGGGGGCTCTGTAAATGTAAGATGCTCTTGTTCTCTTCTGGACAGGACCTGAAAGAGGAAATTGATGTTCGCCTCTCAAGGGTACAGGACATTAAGTATGAACCCCAACTGCTAGCTGAAGATGATGCCAGGCTCCTGCAGCTAGAGACACCAGGAAGCCAATGTACTGTGTCTTCTAAATATATGCACCCTAACTTATTGAGGAGTATATTGGGTGGAGGGGGAGGATGATCCAGAGCCTTCCTGTTCAGCCTTCCAGCCTCCACAGTGCAAACATCATCCCCGCGACGGCTCTCAGAATCGGGGAATGCTGAAGTTACGTTGGTAGCTTTTGAGCCTGTCAGGCTCTTCCCACAGTATTCGCTGTCCTGCTGCAGTGTGGTTCTGGGCCCAGTCCTTCCCTCTGTTGTTGAGCTGCTCATGGTTCCCATGCAGCCTGTCCCCCCAGAACCTGGCAGGCTCCCTACCCCGTACTCTGACTTAGTCACAAGCAAGCAGATTGCAGCCCTGTCCCTGTCTGTAATACACAGAAGCAGCCTGTGGGGACCAAGACTCCCACCACACAGGCTGAAATGAAGCCCTTCAGCTCAAAATGGGGCCTAGCGTGGAGGGAGCTGTTCCCCTCTGCCATATCGCAGAGGACGGCAGCCGCAGCCTATGGTGTATAGCTGTCTGGGCCACCTCTGCTCTGACAGTCCAGGCTTTACCTTTCTCACCAAGCAGAGCAGAAACCCCCAGACAAAGGAAACTGATTGTCAGTTACCATTGGTGCTGCATAATCGGATTAGTGTCATTCTGCGATTTGCACGGGGCTAGCCTCATTGCAGGGGGAAAGGCTCCAACAGGATAATCTCCTGTTCTCACAGCCCCCACTTGTGCCAACTTGCTGGTGGGTGGGTGTTTGTGTTTTTTCTTTCTCCAGACCAGTTTGTGTGTTGTCTTTTCCAGGTTGCTATAACTACTTGTACAGAATGAAGGCACTGGATGCAATCAGAGCTTCTGGTAAGAGAGAGTCTTTAGGTGGGGAGCGTGGCCAGTCGGGGGACATGCCTCTGGAGCCTAGGCCAATAGCCTTGTGCTAGCACAAGGGTTCTCAGCCTGGGGGCTGCCACCATATCCCGAGGTGGGAGGGGTTCCCAGCTAAGGAATTGGGGTCCTCACTGGATGGGGGAGAGATGTCTGCTAGAGGGAAGGGTTGAGAACTTCTGTGCTGAACATGAAAACGAGTATGTGACACAAACAGAGTGAAGCAGAAGCTAATTTGATCTGGTTAGTCCGTGTCCAAGGGGAGTAACAGACAGCAGAAGCCATGGGAAGTTATTTACACCGAGTCTTTTCTTTCTAAATTATCTGCTGTGTCACAGGAAAAGACATTCCTCAAATACGACGCTGCCTGGCTTTCTGAAAGGATCCCCCACGGTGTGTGCCTCACTGTCGGGGTGGGGGTGTCCAGTTTGAAACGCCTGGGCTTGATTTTCTGAGAAACTCCCCAACTTAGTAAAGGCTTCTGCAGACTTAGGCTGTAAAGTGTTTGTCTTGTGCTCCCTTTTGATGCAGTGATTGATTGAACCATCCTAGCTTCAGTCTCTCTGCCTGCAGGTCTCTGCCGTATGGTGCCTCCGTCAGAAAGGCAGAGGGGCAGAAGGAGGAGTTTGTTGGATGGTTTGGGTCACTCATGAGGACGGGCTCTCTTCCAGGCCCCTGGAGTGTGTGTCACACTCATACCCGCCCATCACAGGCATCGTTGTGTTGCTTTGTTTTTTCAGAGATCCCATTTTATGTAGAAGGCCGACACCCCCAGTCCTTAATGGGAAAGAATTTCCATGCCTACCTGTTGGAGCTGAGAAATTCCAGCACTCCATTCAGAGGCGTCCGCAAAACCTTGATTGACACCCTCCTGGATGGCTATGATACTGCACGCTATGGGACAGGGGTGAGTGTCAGCCCAGATCTTCTCTTTGGCCTTTGCGAAGGGGGTGGACTCCCGCAGAGCCAGGTCTTTCACCTCGCAGCATTGCCCACAATTCCCCGCGGCTGCGAACAGGGCCAAGGACAATGCACACCAAGAGTCCAGGATCTCTAAGGCGCTCTTCTGTTTTGTTCAGGTTTTTGGGAAGACGGAATATCTGAAGTACCAGGGTGCCCTGACTGAGCTCGCGAACATGTAAGTTTAACTGGCGCTGGGGATGTTTAGCATCCGGGCCTTGGTCTGCCTGGCAGTCTGTTGAAGGGGGTTGTGGGTGGTGAAATTCTGGAGCTGGCCGTGTCTGTACAGGAACTGAGAAGGGGGAGGCCAAAACCAAATTGACAAAGAAGTGTCCCCTTTAAGAAGGCCCCCAAACAACCCCAGCCAGCAGAGTTCCTAGTTCTTTCATGGTTGTCGAAGGCAGGCAGTCTGTCTCCCTGAGGCATCGGGTCAGGGAAGGAGCCACTTGACCCAGTTCTCAAGGCCCTTACTCAGAGCTGTGAGTCAGAGCAACCAAACTGACAGTCAGAAAAGCAAAGTCTGTGGGGCTCCGGTCAGGAGTGGCCTGGGGCCTGCAGCCTATAGCAGCCAGCATGGCTTCTGGTCCCGACCCTTGTTCTGGTGTTTTCCTTGACCGTCTACAGGTTAAAGAGTACACCCTGCCACAATGTGCCTGCCCAGACCTGCCTTCCGAGGGCCTGCACCCCATTGATTTAACTGACTGGCACCTCTAATGAGGCTTCTTGCCGTCTCATTCGCTCAGGAAGGGTTGCTCTCTGTTCCGGGTGGAATCCGTAACATCTCCTTTTTCTCCACAGTATCAAAGCACGAGGAGGTAGCAGCCAGAGGCAGCACCAGTCAGCAGCGAAGGACCTCACGCTCTCGCCTGATGTCTCCAACCCAGCCACCATCCAGGTCACCTACCTGCCTTCCAGCCAGAAGAGCAAACGTGCCAAACACTTCCTGGAGCTGAAGAGCTTCAAGGACAACTACAACACGCTGGAGAGCACCCTGTGAGCCACGGCAGGAGTTCTGCTCCTGGGACCTGCCTCTGAGAGCCCCTTGCTCGGTGGGGCACGTCACAAGGGGCTTTTGGCAACAGTCCGTGTCCAGGCGGGAAGTCACTGGGCTCATGGATCACGCTCTGCTGCATGGAGTTGGATTTAACAGCGACATCATGGCTGGGGTTACCTGGCCTCTGGGCAGGAGGCTCGATCCAGCTGTGTACTGGCTGCAGAACGGAGCTGGCCAGCAGCCGGCATGGGCCTTGTGCTTTGGGCTCTGAAGAGATTCCAGATGCAATCCCTGTTTAGTGGCTAGTGTCTCTCTGGAGCCCCTAGCACCGTGAATAGAACATTTGAGTAGCTTTAGCGTATTTATACAAGACACTGCTCCGGGTCAGTGCTCCTGCACCCCTCTGCACTGACTGCGGCAGCTCCATTCACTCCACTGACCCTCCATCACTCCCAGCGATGGCTCAGGGGCGGAGGCCAGAGGTGGTTTCCAGCTCCCTCACTGGAGCCACGGGCTGGGCTTTCCAAAGGGTAAATGCCTGGGGGGGTCTGTGGGTCCATCCTCCCACTCCTTGTCAGCCTGTTGTGCTTGAATTGCCCTTTAGATCTGGGGGGGTTGTTAGTGATCTCTGGAGCCTGTTTAAACCCCACCCAGACAGTAAATGGCTCAGTGTCCTGTTCTGGGGAGGGGAGGGTGCTGCTGCTCACTGTCTCTTCCACGTGCCCCAGCTGGGCAGCCGGGTAAAACCTTCCCTGTTCCCTCCCGCTCTCACCACCGCCTCGTGCCATTCACCATGGACTCCTGCCGGCCTCGTGGGGAAGGGGCAGCAGCGGGGCAGGTGCTGGCGAAAGCTCCCGGGCTGCACACTGACGGCAGTGCCCCTGCAAGCTGCGTGCGCGGCATACCAGTCATCCGCTCTGGGCCGGAGGAGGTGCCCCGGCAGCCGGGCCTGCTCTCTCTCTTTTTACATTGCTGTTTAATAAAAGGAACGTTCCCCTGTGGCCGCCGTGCACCGGTGCTCTTTGGCGGCAGGGAACCCTCACTCTAGCTGCACATGCTGCTCTCGGGACAGCCTAAGCCGCAGCTGCTGTGGGGTGGCTCAGAAAGGGGGGACGGGGTGTCTGCTTCCAGGGTGGGGGCAGCTGGTGCAGCCTGTGCTCTCCAGGGAGGGGGGGGGGTCTGAGAAAGGTCCCTGACTGTCACTGCACTGAGCAGCCTCCTGTATCACCTGCCCAAGAACAGCTGGGAGCCCCCAAGGCTCTGCTGCCTGCCTGCGTCCCCTCCAGCTGCTCCTCCCCTGGCCAGGAACATGGCCCTTCCCTGGCTCAGGGCTCTGCGCAGCGCCCCCTCCCCTCAGGAGCCGGCTGCCGTTGGATTATGCACCGCTACAGGCGCCTGGGATTCTCACTGCATCACATGCTCCTTTCCCTGTCTCCACCTCCCTGGGAGAAGGGCGGGGGGGGGTCCTTGTTTTACACATGGGGAGCAGAGGTGACCCAGCACTGTCCCTACAGGGAGTGGGCCGCAGAGCTGGGATGAAAAGGCAGGGGCTTGGCTCGCTCTCCCCTCTCCGCACCGATTGGGGTGGGGTCGATTCCTGCAGGAGGATGGGGTTAGTTAGTTCAGTGTTGTAGATGGGTTTGGGGGTACGTGTCTGAAGTCCCCGGGCCCTGCTCTGTGGAGTGTGAGGCTGCTGCAGTAACTGCCAGGAAAAGCACTGGGAGAGCCTGGAGCAGTATCCACCAGGGGCTGGATTGACTTGGCACGGGGGGAGGGGTAATCATTGTATGCCCTTGGCCCACCCACTGCCCCTGGGATTCCCCCCAGCATGGTGCCTCTGCATGGCAGTACGGGCTTATGGGGCTGTACCCACGGCATCCGAGTGTCCCTTCCACTGTTCCCTTCAGCGAGAGCCGAGTGCCTTTGAAATGCCACCCGTTAGCCAAAGCCCAATGCCCCCGGGCTGTATTTCCCGCCCTTCGACCTGCCTGCTGCCATGGTGGGGATGGGCAGCACTGCTGCCGCCCGTGGGAGAGGAGGGTGTTGGGTACGATGGGCCTTTGAACTAGAAATGGGGATTTAAATATCTTTCCAGGGCAGATGCTGAGTTTGTACGGCAGGGGGAGAGCACAGGGGTTAGGGGTGGCCAGTGTTGATCTAGCCCCTGGGCGTGCCCATATCTCATACCTCATGCAAACTGACGGGCCTGGAAGAAACGCACGGTCGGAGGGCGTGTGCAAGCACGTGTGACTCAGCTCACCACACTGGCCAAATGCAGGCAGACAATGGCCCTGACTCCAGCCATCCTCACGCTCGGAGACTGCGGGCCCTGCACCGGCTGGCTCGAGATGGAGTGTGGCATGCTGGGACCCAAAGGCTCTGGAGTTGGCACTTCCGTTGGCGAGGAAGGTGGCAGCCATGCACTGTTGGTTCAGGCCGGTCGGGTGCAGTCCCTGGGTTCTTTGCCAGCTGCCAACAGCCCTTCAGTCGGGCCAAGTGTGGATGGTTCGGGTCGGTTTGCTGCCCCTGTTCGAGACGGGGCTCACGGTTATCAAGTATCAGCTACTGACTGGGCAGCCAGAGCCTCGGCTTTACAGACACCCCGTGCCTTGGCCGACGGGCAGGGAGTGGCGCCTGGGGCCCTGCACCCCTGCTCCGCTAGCAACGTTTCCTTCGTGATTGCATGGGGGGGCTCGCTGGCAAAGGGGGCGCGTTTCCCTGCCGTGTTCACAGGCTCGTGCGGGTGAAGCTGCCGGGCCAAGGGCTGCAGGATTTGTCCCTTGCCTTCTGCAGCGGGACGGACGGTTCCAGGGCAGCGGGCGATTGGAAGCAACAGGAACAAACGTGGGGCTCATTAAACTGTCCTCGCCCTTTCGTTGAGCAGGGGTCTCCTGCAGCTCCCTGGATGGGGGATACCGGGACGGGGGAGCACCCAGGCCCCAGCCACGGGGCGACTGAGCTCGGCTCTGCCCACTCCCCCGGGCAACACGGATCCCCCAGGCAGAGCCTCACGGTTCTAAAGCGTGTGCTGCTGCCATGGTGACCGGGGCGCCAAACGGTAACGGGACGGCAGCGCCCCCAGCGCCCAGCGCCCGCCCCGTGACAATGGCACCTGGCCGGGAAAAACTGGGCAAGAGCAGCAATGCCCCCTCGCTCCAGCAGCTCCTGAGGGAAGAGGAGGTAGGACGTGGGGGACGGGCAGGGCATGCGGGCGGGGTCGGGGGGGCAGGAGGGTGTGGAGATGGAGGGCAGGGCATGCGGGCGGGGGAGACAGGCAGGGAGACAGGGCCCGGGGTGGGGGCAGGCAGGGTGTAGAGATGGGGGGGCAGGGCATAGATCCAGGGCCCTGGGTGGGGCGGGGGGCAGGAGGGTGTAGAGACAGTGCAGGGGAGACAGGCAGGGAGTCAGGGCCCGGGAGGGGTGGGCAGGAGGGCAGCCCCTGAGAACATAAACCGGAGGGGAACGGGGCCTGCGGGGTTGCCTATGAAGGCCAAACTGGGCCTCACCAAGCCCCTTTGATGGCAGCAGCCCGTGGGGCTGAGCGGCTCCCAGCTGCATAGGGGGCGGGTCTCATCAATGCCATAGACATGGGGAGAGGGCTGGTGTCCCATCTCACTCCTTAGGGCTGGATTCTGCCCACGGCCACAGCCCCGGTCTCTTCTTCATGCTACACCGTATCCAATCAGCATCCCCTTGCCCCGTCCTGGGGTGCCCCCAGGCCAAACCCTGTCCTCCCTGGGGCGTTAAGGGAGGAGACAGCGCCCCCAGCAGAGCTCCCCAGTCAGACCCCGCTTTCCCTGCCCTACCCCCCGGGGCAACCGCCCTGCAGAGAGACGCCGAAGGCTCACTCGCCCCCTCGGCCGGTCATCTCCCGCTGCCTGCCCTGGGGTACTCTGTTCATGGGCCCGGCTCTGTTGTCTGGCCACTGAGGGCTCCCAGCAGCTGGAGGGGATTATAACACGCAGGTCCTGACTGCTTGTGACTCTTAAAACAGTGGCACTTGTAAGACTCGGGGCATCACGCCCAGCCTCCCAGCGAAACCCAGCGTGGGAATTCACAGTCTACCCTAAACCACTGCGCAGGGCGGATGTGCTCTGCTAGCCAGCTGCCGGGTTGCGCTGCAGAGGTGGCTGCACGGTAGTGCTGGAAGTCCTCCCTCTCCTATTTCATCTATCACTGTACAAAGCACTTTGGGACCCTTCAGGGTGCCGGGTGCTAGGAGCTGTCACCCCCTCCGCCGCCCGAAATGGGAGGCCCTTTGAACCAATCAATCGCTTTCCCTTGCCGGGGCTTGGTGATTTTGCCTCCTCCCAGATGCTAGTTCTGGGTAGCAATACGGCCTGGGAGAGGCTGGGCCCAGGCCTGAACGTGCCGTTCTGATTGTAGCTGCTGAAGAAGGAGGCTGCCTACCAGAATCTGGTTAAAAGGTAAATGGGTTTGTGGAGGGCGGTCTCTAGCTCTTCGTTACTGTGATGAAAGCCACTTCTCTGTGGAATAATAACGCCCAGCACGTCCAGCAGCAGAGCGCGGGGGGTGGCAGGGGGCTACTGACAAAGGGAACTGTGGGGGTAAGGGGACCATATTTTCCCAAAGGGAAATGGGACACCACATGGGGCCAGCCCAAGGACAGCTGTCCCCCCCCAAGTGGGCCCCCACTGCCACCCAACGGCATGGGGCCGGCCTGAGGCCCCCACTACTCCCGCCCCCCCCCATGCACACAACCAGCCCACCCGCCCACCCGCCAACCCTTGCAGGGCTGGGCTGGCCCAAGCCGCTCTCCCGAGCCCTCTCTCCGGCTCAGGACGGGTGTTGCTGCTTGCGCCCCCCCCACCCCCGCATGTTCCTCCACACACCCCTAGGGGTCCCACCCCACTTTTTTTGGCAAAACTGAGCGTTTGTCCGGTTTGCTCTTGCCCCCAGCTCCCTTTCAACTCCACCTCCGAGTGCAGCCCAGGGCCGTCCCCTCTCCCCAGAGCAAAGCCATTGGCCCTTCCCTCGGATCCCGGGCCGGGAGGAGAAGCCAGCGAGAGCGGAGGTGGCTCCGCTGAGCCCAGCTGGGGCTGCTGGAAGTGATGGTTGTTAAGGGCCCCATCGATGGCCCCTGACATCCGCCCCCAGCTCCATTCAAATCAGAGGGGCTCCAGGCACGCAGTGGGGGCTGCTCACGTGGCTCTAGCCACAGGCCCAGGACCAGACAAAGCTCCCCTCACCTCTTGGCTTGGGGCCTGATCCTGCCCATGGATGTCAGCAAGGAAGTTCAGTGGCCGCAGGCTGGGGCCCTCCGGGTGAGCTCTGTGGGGCAGCCCCAGGGCTGCCCAGAGGATTCAGGGGTCTGGGGCAAAGCAATTTCGGGGCCCCTTCCATAAAAAAAAGTTGCAATACTATAGAATACTATATTCTCATGAAAAAAGAACAGGAGTACTTGTGGCACCTTAGAGACTAACAAATTTATTAGAGCATAAGCTTTCGTGGGCTACAGCCCACTTCTTCGGATGCATATAGAATGGAACATATATTGAGGATATATGCATCCGAAGAAGT